TTCACATTCCTGACCGGCTCTTCAGGAGGGTATTGTTTTCGGGGCAAGCCCAGCTCGAACGGTCAACACTATTGTTCGTGAATTGTGAGAAGACTGAGCAGCAACAACGGCAAAGATGCCGATAACTCGGGTCTGAGTGGCCTTTAGTCTCACGTTGTAAGAGGTGCTTCCAAGGAAAAGCGAAGATGTTGATTCAGAAAGGCAAAAACATGCAAAACAAAGGCAGGACAAGGCAACGCCCGCATTACATTGGTTTTGTGCCCTGCTTCATGCCTTCGGCTGCGTTGTCGGGAGCTGCCTTTTGCTTGTTTGCCTTGATTTTACCCTTTGCGTGTGGCGTGAGTGTTCATGTTCACCTGCTTTATTATGTGTTGTTTTCGCATGTGAATCAACATTGGCCTTGCCCGTCCATCGGGTGGTCAAAAACACAGACCACGCAACTGTTGGAGGAGGTTCGGGAACCATGTCGTTTTAGAAAGTGGCTGGGCGCACCGGGAAATTTGAGAAAATGTGAGTATGAACCTTCTGCAAGACCTGATCCTGACCTCCCCCCTCCCTTGGGCAAAAAATGCCACAATGCCTCCAAGAAACAAGAGCGAAAGCCCGCCCTGCAAGCATGGCATTTCTAATCGACCTCCCCCAAGTTCTGTTTATTCCCCAGATAGCTGAAAGCTATAGGGGTTCTAACTTCTAATGAAGAGGGGAAAGTGATTTGCGAGATTGAGGGCCGGGTGCTAGGGGGCATGCAGTTTGAGGTGCTGGTGGATGCTGCTTTGCGAGCTTGACGGCCGGGTGCTAGGGGGCATGCAGTTTGAGGTGCTGGTGGATGCTGCTTTGCGAGATTGACGGCCGGGTGCTAGGGGGCATGCAGTTTGAGGTGCTGGTGGATGCTGCTTTGCGAGCTTGACGGCCGGGTGCTGGGGGGCATGCAGTTTGAGGTGCTGGTGGATGCTGCTTTGCGAGCTTGACGGCCGGGTGCTCGGGGGCATGCAGTTTGAGGTGCTGGTGGATGCTGCTTTGCGAGCTTGACGGCCGGCTGCTAGGGGGCATGCAGTTTGGGGTGCTGGTGGGTGCTGCTTTGCGAGCTTGTCGGCCGGGTGCTAGGGGCATGCGGCTTGGGGTGCTGGTGGGTGCTGCTTTGCGAGCTTGACGGCCGGGTGCTGGGGGGCATGCAGTTTGGGGTGCTGGTGGGTGCTGCTTTGCGAGCTTGACGGCCGGGCGCTAGGGGGCATGCACTGTGGGGTGCTGGTGGATGCTGCTTTGCGAGCTTGACGGCCGGGTGCTGGGGACATGGGGGGGCATGCAGTTTGGGGTGCTGGTGGATGCTGCTTTGCGAGCTTGACGCCCGGGTGCTAGGGGGCATGCAGTTTGGGGTGCTGGTGGGTGCTGCTTTGCGAGCTTGACGGCCGGGTGCTAGGGGGCATGCAGTTTGGGGTGCTGGTAGGTGCTGCTTTGCGAGCTGGTGGATGCTGTTTTGCAAGCTTGACGGCCGGGTGCTATGCAGTTGGGGGTGCTGGTGGGTGCTGCTTTGCGGGTGCTACGGGGCATTCAGTTTGGGGTGCTGGTAGATGCTGCTTTGCGAGCTTGACGGCCGGGCGGGGGGCTGCTGGTTTGCGAGCTGGCCGGCGAGCTTGACGGCCGGGTGCTCGGGGGCATGCAGTCTCGGGTGCTGGTGGATGCTGTTTTGCGAGCTTGACGGCTGGGTGCTGGGGGCATGCAGTTTGGGGTGCTGGTGGATGCTGTTTTGTTTTTCGAGCTGGCCGGGTGCTAGTGGTATGCAGTTTGGGGTGCTGGTGGATGCTGTTTTGCGAGCTTGACGGCCGGGTGCTGGGGGGCATGCAGTTTGGGCTGCTGGTGGATGCTGTTTTGCGAGCTGGCCGGGTGCTAGGGGGCATGCAGTTTGGGGTGCTGGTGGATGCTGTTTTGCGAGCTTGACGGCCGGTTCTAGGGGGCATGCGCATGCTGCTTTGCGAGCTTGACGGCCGGGTGCTAAGGGGCATGCAGTTTGAGGCGCGGGTGGATGCTGCTTTGGTTGTACCAGGTGCTAGGGGGCATGTTTGGGGTGCTGGTGGATGCTGTTCGCGTGTAACGGTTCGTGGCTGGTGTATCGTCATGATATTCCCACGTTATGGTGTGTGGGTGTAGTGGCGCCGTGATGCTGTCAACATCAGGATGATGCAGAATTTCATTAAGCTGTCGCAAGATGGTTCGTGGCTGTGGTATCATCATGATGCTGCCTTTACACCATCAGCAGGATGCTGTTCGCATCACCATGATGCTGTCCGCATCATCATGATGCTGTCCGCATCATCATGATGCTGTCGAACTCATCAGGACCTCGGTTTGCTTTTTCCTGCCGGATTGCTCTCAAAATCATCATTATGCTGCTGATCTCATTAGGACGTTGTCTGCGCGTTTGCTTCGTGGCTGTGGTGTCATCATGGTCTACATCATCATGATAATGCTGCGTCATGGTTCGTATCCGTGGTGTGCTATCTGGGGTCTATGCTGGTGTAATCTAATGCTTATAGCCGTCATTAGCCGCCGTTGTGATGTTTTGTGGGCGGGATCGGGTTCCTCATTTTTTGAAGACGAAAACTCTTGACGAGTCGGCCCCCCGCAGGATCATGGTGCCCTTGGACCCCTCATGTTGTAAATATGTAGTGTCCTCCCCATTCTCCGAAAAGATGTGATCCTTCACGAGCAAGCATGTGCCAACATAGCCTCATCGGAGAGCTCTTTCAATAGCCGTGAATGTTGTCAGGAGGTGCGTTGGTCTGAAGGAATGAACTTTGACGACTGCTACTTTGTCAATACAAAAGACGAGCAGGAAGCGAGGAAAAGGGCTGGGGCTGGGAAGCACGTTGATGCAAACAATTCACGCACGCAGGAGGCGGAGAAAGCAGCTCATGCTTCGCGCGAGCAAGAGCAGGCGGGACGGGGCACGTTGCTGGAGCCTTTGCACCGTCAAGCTTTTCGCACGAGCATTTCCTGGCTCAGGCCAAAAGTTCGAAGCTCATTGCGGAGATTCTCGAGGTCAATGCGCAAACGAGTGAAGAGCTCCAGAGTGAAGGAGAGATTGCAAGAAGCCAACAAGGCAGCCAAATCTGCAAGCAAGTTCATACTATGCACGGAGGCGAGTCGCGATGTGTTGTTCTTTCCGTGACAGCATTTAGTAGTTTGCTCCCCGTGCTTTGCACGCTTGGAAGCACAGAAGCATGGCTCCTGGGCGACTTGCCCGGTGTGCAGAGGGAACATCCAAGCAACCTCTCCAGCATTTTTGGCTTGATGCCGACATTAGCTAGGAATTTCAGCAGCTGGTGGGTCAGTGCTTCTGTTTTGCAAGTGATTTCTATTTTGGACTCCGAGTTGCCATACTGTTCTGCACTGCAAAGTCTTACAACCACGTCCTGGCCCACCCTGCGCGCATCAATCCATCGAGCCTTCCCCGCTCAGCGGGAAAGACACGTCTGCTCAAAAGGGTGTCAGCTCTGTGAAAAAATGTCTTGAGGGTTGCAAGATGGCACGTCTGGATGAGTTGGCAGCGGCAAAGTCTGAAGTGGTGTTTTGCATCCCCCCTGTTTGAAAGAAGATGTCTTCCCCGGGAGAGTCTTCCATAATTAATAGGGTTTCCTTTTGGCACTTTCAAGGGTTCACACGCAGCGAAGCATGTTCCCTCATTCGAGCAAGCTTCGTAGACTTAGAGGACTTGGATTGAACCAGCGCGCGTCATGTGAGGGAAACATGTGCACAACGGTTGCTGGCAACACTTTGCGACTGATGCGCTTGAATGACACTCACAATACTTCTCAGCAAAACCGCTGCGCAACATGTGTGAGACTCGTAGTGTCAATTGCGAGCGACGTGTTCATTTCACGCACACGTCGGAGAGACTCTTCTGATTCCCGCGTGCTGGTGGTGTTTCTGAGCGGCGGCTTCCAGAAACACTCCTCACCATTTTTTTGCGTGACATGTTTGAAAAACATGTTTGGTTTACGGGGGGGGTTGCCGGGCCGCCAATCAGAGGCGCCGGCCTGAATCTTCTTCGAGGCAAACGACCCGGAAAGAGGAGAAGAAGGAGAAGAAGCAAGAAAAGAAGGCAGAGAAGAAAAAGGAAAAGAAAGAATAGAAGAAAGAAGAGAAGAAAGAAGAGCAGAAAGACGAAAGAAAAGAAAATAGAAGAACAAATGAAGAAAGACGAGAAGAAAGAACAGAAAAAGAAAAGAAGGACGATAAGAGAAGAGAAGAGAAAAGAAGAGAATAGAAGAGAAAAGAAGAGAAGAAAGACGAGCATAAAGAGAAAATGAAAAGCAGAAAGAAGAGAAGAAAGAAGAGAAGACAGAAGAGAAGAAATACGAAAATAAAGAAGAGAAGAGAGAAGACATGGAAAAAGGGAAGAAAAGAGAAGATAAGCAAAAGAGTAGAACGAAAAGAAGAAAGAAGAGACGATAGGAGATAACAAAATCAGATGAAACAAAAGAGAATAAAAGAGGACAAGACAAGAAAGAAGAGAATAATACAGGAAGAAAGAAGAGAAGAAAGACAGGAACAATGAAGAAGAGAAGGAAGAGAAGAAAGATAAAAGAGAAGAGAAGAGAAGGGAAGGGAATGGAAGCGAAGAAAGAAGAGAAGAAAGACGAGAAGAAAGAAAACAAGAATGAAGATAAGAAAGAAGAGAAGAAAGAAAAGAAGAGAGGAGGAGAAAGAAGACAAGATAAGAAAAGAAATGAGAAGGGAAAACAAGAGCTCCTATAGTTTTCATCGGTTTAGAAACTTCCGCCGAACGGCTTCGCCGGCTCTACTGGTAGTGACGATTATTGATGCGTTTGCAAGGTTGCTGGACGCACACTACGAAGAAGGCTGATTCCGGGTTCTAGCTGTTGGGTTTGATCACCAAGCCCAAATCTGCCAAGCTTGGTGGCAAAGGTGTTCTGGATGGGTCTCTTCCTGCCAAACTCCTTGCCCCATGTCAGAGCTGGGAGCTGCAAGTAAACTGCCAGGAGACCGAGGAGAAGAGACAACGGCACCTGCGCCATGTGGCCAAAGAGAAAGAGCTGCGTGCAAAGCAGCAGGCGCCTAGCGCGTGTCAGCTTGCCATGCAATGCCAGGCCGTGGGATATAGTTATTGCGGCAATTGCGGCCTCATATACTCGGGGACAATAGTTATGGCTTTTCTCGATGGCTTTGATTCAGGAATGCTCCGTGCAACTGCATAAGGCTTGCTTTATTGTGGAACGGAGGGTCTGGTGCGTGAATCTTGACCGCTTCATAGGCTTAATACATCTCTCGCATCAAGAAGTCCCTTTAGCAGCCCTTGCCAATCAGCCAAGAAGGCGCGGTTTGAGGCTAAGAAGAGGTGCTCAAGGGGCCAGTCAATCCTTTCTATTTGACCTTCAGCAAGTCATTTGAGGCGGCTCGGGAAGGATTCGCATGTAGACCCTGGCAATAGAAGTAGTACTGTGTTTTTTGAGGGGAAGCGTTTGCAGATTATACATTTTCTCTTGGATGCCAAAGGCCGCGAAAGGTCTTGCAAAAGGGTGTTATATTTTGTCCACTCTTGAAAGGTTGGCGCAAGTTGTTTGCATGCGTTCCAGGCTGCCAATTGTTCAGTTGTCCTGTGCTCGCAAAACCGAAAGCACACTTCAAATCCAGGTTCCATCTGCGGAAAAAAAAGAAAAGAAAAAGCGCCGTGCGTGAATTGAAGTTGAAAGCTACTTCGCAGCCCCTACTTTCTTCACCCTAAAAAAGCTCCGAGGAAGCCCTGCGAAAGGTCTCGCAAAAATGCACGTACACCAATTTGCAACAACGGTCATGTTTTGCCTGAAGCAGGATGGTAGTTTCTTGGTTGCAGGTGTCCTAAATGGATAATGTCCAAACTAAGGGACCTTTTGCGGAAGGCCTGCAATCCGATCTTGAAATATGACCTCCGCCTGCCGCGAGGTTATCCGAGAAGTTCGGTCTGAGAAGCAAAGGCAGCCATCAGAGGAGCAAAACGAGGAGCAAAACGAGGAGCGACCTGAGAGCTCCTTGGCCAGATGTCCACTTTGTCGCTGGGCTTCAGAAATTGGCTGAAGATGGGCTGAATGCAGGTTCTAGATGATGATCGCATTCACTGGGAGGGATGACAACTTAGCGCCTGTTTGCAAAATCAACCAAAGAGCACACCATTCAATGCTAAGAAATGTTGCCTTTGTAGCCGACTCTTGAAGAGGGCCACCAACAGATGTTGCACAGCATCTGGAAGCTTAATCTGATGCATGCCTGTAGCAAGCATGTTCCCAGTTAATATCTCATAGAAAAATGGTTCAGTCCAGGGACAGTTGTGTACATTCCAGTGGACTGTTCCGTAGGTTTAAATATATCCAAATCATGAGGATTGAGGATCAGACAAGCTCAATGTCCAAAAAGCAATCTGCAGAACAAATCAAACTGTCAGGGCATAACAAAGAGTACGCTATCTGGAAGAAGCTATCCAGCAGAATCAAAAGCTTCAAACGGAGTGGAACTGCGCGGATTCCAAGTCACGCATTGGTCCTTTAACTGTGCACACTCTCGACTTGCACGGCAGGATGTGTGCGTAGTGTGATGTGTGTGTGTGTGTGCGTGCGAGCGTGCGTACGTGTGTGTGTGTGTGGGTTTGCGTGTGCGTGCGCCGGTGCGCGGGTGCGCGTGCGGGCGTGCGGGCGTGCGGGCGTGCGCGCGTGTGTGTGCGTGTGTGTGTGTGTGTGTGTGTGTGTGTGTGTGTGTGTGCGTGTGTGTGTGTGTGTGTGTGTGCGTGTGTGGGTTTGCGTGTGCGTGCGCCGGTGCACGGGTGCGGGCGTGCGCGCGTGCGCGCGCGTGCGCGTATGTGTGTGTGCGCGTGTGTGTGCGCGTGTTGCGTGTGCGTGTGCGTGTGCGTGTGCGTGTGCGTGTGCGTGTGCGTGTGCGCGTGCGCGTGCGCGTGCGCGTGCGCGTGCGCGTGCGCATGCGCGTGCGTGTGCGTGTGCGCGTGCGCGTGTGCGTGCG